GAAAAAAAAATCCCATGAATAAATAAGAACAAGAAAAACAAAAGTCGAAAATGAATATGGTACTTTTTCTGCCAGGAAGAATATTCAGCACTTTGATGGCGATGAAGAATTCTGCTCTTGAGGAAATTATTGTGTTTAAAGGATTTTTATGATTTTTTTTAAGTTTTTTGCTCAATGATGCTGTGTCTAGACAAGTAAATCACTTAAAGCACTATCGTGAATAACTGTGACTCTAAAGTACAGGCCATATTTGAAAGTCTGTCCTTCAATTTCTTTCTAATAGATATGTAGAGAATAATGTATTTGGATATGTCCAGTAGAGTTTGGAAAGGCCAAAAAATGCTTACCTTGCAGCAACTGGTTCTGTGAGGTGTGGAGTTCACAAAGATTCCACTCTGTGTTTTTGTATCCCAGGTATGAGAAATACAATTTCTGTCTAATAAATTAATAAAAGACATGGCAACTATATCAATTTTATTCAATAATAAAACCTCCTAATTTTCAGAACTCCAATTTGTCAAGCCAGAGCACATGAACTAAGCCCTGAAAGGCTTAGTTACAATAATACACATTTTTCTTTCTTTTTAGGGTAGAAACTCTTGGTGAGTTGCAAGCAGTGTTACTTGTGGAGATGAGTAAGAGACCATCTGCAGCATCAACAGAAAGCGCTCTCTACCAAACATTTGATCTGGGTAAGGGACTGCAGAATAGTACAATGTGCTATTTATTAATGGTATTAAATTATGGGTAGAGTGCTATAGTGTTATTAGAAATCTCAATTGCAGAGATGTTTTCCAAAAGGTTGTAGCAGAGATGGCATGAGTTCATATATTGTCTTATACATTTTAGAGTATACTTCATTATTAAAACAGCATGAACATATGTTAGTTAAGGCCTACTCAGACTCTTTGACGACACCCGCCATGCTGAAAATGTCACCAACAGTTTTGGTGGAAATGTATTTGCAAGTTTAATCTAGACCTCTCCAGAAAGAAGAAAATCAGTTTAGATATATCCAGGATGTAAAGCTGCGCTTTGGTTTGAGAAGGGGGTGTAGGTAAAGATACTGGGGGAGGGATTCATTAATTTGGAGATGAAACAGTTGCAGTGAAGAACCTCAACTAAAGCCTCTGCATGTATTCATGGAAATCTGTCTAGGAAGAACCACTAGGAGCTTAAGAATTCCTTTATTCTCTGAGTTAGCAGGAAATCAGTCTACAAGGAAAAGTGAATAATGAAACAGGCACGGAAGATCTATTAACCCAGGAATTCTACAGTTAGCCTGAGAAATACAAGTAGCAAGTTGACTCCTCTAAGCCACCTTGGTAAGTAAGTAGACCTTGACCAAGTACCAGCTTAAAGGCAGCGCTCTGCTTGAAGTATGCATATGACATCCTACACAAGCTCTCTATGCTACGATATAAGGGTGGGGAAATTTTACAGCAGAAAACCAGTCCACTGGATTAAAAGAAAACATGTCAAACCTGAAACAATATTTGAAACAATGCATAAAATGCTTGAAATGTTAAAGATCTGATCTGGAGTTCCATGCTTTTATTATATTTGAACTCTGAAAATACTAGGAATTGGAAGGCTTTGTCTAGAAATTCTTGAGGTACTTACTTTTCCATTTCCAGATGTAGTAAGAAGCTGATTTCATGTTCTAAAATCAGGTCTTGAACACCATTTCTAAAAGGTGATGAAAAGAGAGTGGTAAGATTGTAATTATCTGGCAACAGCTAAGACTCAAAACTTGTTAAGTTCCTAGACTTTAGAACCAAGAAATGCTGTCAATTGTGATGTCTTCTTGAAACAGTGAGTTCTCTAAAGTAACAAGGATTATCTGTACTAGATTTTATATATATATATGTACTAGATTATACATTATATATATATAAAAATAATTGTTTCATATACTGCTATATAATAAATGAGCCAAGGACCATTTTCTGTCCCTGAGGTCAGCTCTTGGGCATCTAAACCTCATATTATATATATATGTATGTATGTGTATATAACACACAACACCACCTAAACAGCTGAATGAGTCCAGTTAATGACATGGCATACCTCAAGTCTACGTTTATCACCAAGAGGTAAGATCGAGTTAATTGTACTACTGTTTACATCAAAAGCCAAAGAGGAGACAGTGGATACTGGTTTTTATATCTTATACAAGCAGTTGTGCTGGCAGCAGCCCCTTTTTCATAATAATTGTCTTAACAAACAACAGTCGCTTAACCTAATTTTGAACCCTTTCTTCCCACTTCCAAAGAAGACCTCACTGGCCTTAGCCAGTATGCAGGAATGATAAAATAGTGTGATGGTGCCTATCCCTTCAGCTGGACCTTTATTCAGAAAGAAGTATAAGATTAATGGGACTGTAGAAAGAATAAAAAGTGCTTGACTTCTTAGTTCAAAGAAAGGAGGTTGGCTCTTAAGGAAGAGGGAGTCCCAAGTTCTAGCTGCTGAAGAGATCTTTATAGTGAATGGAGATGCTTACTGTGCAGCCCTGATTTAAGCACTCCTTCAAACACACCCTGTTTCACATCAGTCGGCTCTAGGCAGTTCTTCACCCAGGATATGAGAGCACTTACCCACCTTCGAAGGCAATTATATACAGAGATAGTTACCTCAAATAACACGGAAGGAGAAGTACCTCATTTGGTCTTCTGAGTCATTCTTTGTTAGGCACTTGCTTTTCTCTGTTGACAGTGCAGAGAGACAAAGATCACAGATGATCCAAATCATTTTGTTGTAATCACTGAACTTCATAGTAGGCAGAGTACAACAGTAAGTCTGTCAACGTGTCTGGTCAATTAGTGAACTTCGGAGAAGAACTCACAGGAGTTCTTTCTCACAGGAGAAAAAAGAAGATGAGAGGAAGTCCTCTCATCCACAAAGCAGAGCTTGTCTTAAGAATTAAACTGGATGCTGGAGCAAAATATCTTCTGAAAAGGCAAGGGTCTGAGACCAGAAAGCAGAGCAAACAGATAGTAAATTTTGTAATATCTATCAGAACGTCTTGGATCATCAGCAAGCGCAAATGGGATTTTATCGGTTTTGCTAAAGAAACATTTAGCCAGAAGATTATAAGGTAAAACTCTATTTTTGCCTTTAAATACATGAATGAAAGTCCAATCAATAGCGGATCTGTTCAAAACCAGCTAACTGCGTTTGAAAAGAAAGCCGTCTCTGCCTAAGCATGCTAAAACTGCATTTTAGAAGGCCAAGAATCACTTAAAATGACCTTATCCAGAATATAAGCAAGCGCAATGTTCTGTATGTAGCATGTAATGAATAGATTATCTGAACTTTTAACACGTCTTAAAAAACAAAAATTACAAAATTCTGGGCAAAAAATAGGTATGCTATAAGAATGGAAGGGAAGTCTTAGAAGATTAAAAAGAAGCTTGCCCCTGCAAAAATATAAAGATACAGGTTACACAGCCCAGTTGTGGTGGTATCAGTTCTCACAACAAGTTATATGCAAATAAAACAGTCAAAAGATAGGGAAAAGATGATTCTTCAAAGAAAAATGAAAGCGGAAATAAGTTAGTGTATTATGATGTTAGGGTCTTCTGTTCAATAGTGGAGAATAATTCCATGAAAAGAGAAACCACGTATGTAACCAATATCCAGACGGAACACTGAGGTTAAAGAGAGAAGTAAAGATTGTCTTGTTTCCCTTGTAGCCACATCAAAGCCAAATATATTGCAGCCTATCTGTAAAGAAATTAAAGATGGCATTGATGTGTCTACCTGAAGTTGGAAACTGTGAAACTGCAAGTAATTCAACTGTGTGGAGGGTGATAAAAAGAAAAGCACTATCCAAGAAGCGAGTCAAAGCTGTGAGTCTTGACGGCCCTTCCTTTAAACACACAAACATTTGAGATGCTCTGTGTACAAGGCACAATGAGACTGACAGTTCTGAAGAATCAAATATAATGTTGGCACTGTTCAAACATTGCAACTCAGTTATTACTTGCCAGGTCTGTATAACCTGTAAGAAAAATAGCCCAGTGTTCTACTACAGTTTCATTCTAGTATAAATAAAAATAGGATGAAGTTATTTCCATGTTAGGAAAAAAAAAGGACTTTAAATAAACAGAAGTTGATCAAGTCTTGTCTAGAATAAGTTGTAATAACATATTCTTAAAAGCTATATTCTCTTTATTCAATAAAATAAAAAATAAACTGTCAGAAAAGACCATTCTACAGTCCAGAAATACTGAAGTTAAGTTGCCTGTGCAACTCTACTCCCTTGTGCTTATGTATTATGACAGTCTAGTTGCTTGATCACCTACTAATACAAATGATACATTAGAATATCTTGTAATAACTTTTACAGCCCTTCTGAGACATATTTTGGAAAGCAGGGCTTTCCTGGAGACTTTTCCTTGTTCACTGGGTACCTCAGTAAATAAATGCTATTCATGGGCTTTAGCATACAAAAAACTTGTAAATTTGCAAACAGATGGCTAAAAATGTGTATTGTAAGGAAGAAAATGGCAAATAACTGTGAAACTCAAGACATCCAGTGATATTTAATTCATGTCATCAAAAATCCTTCCCACTATTCTCTCGCTTGGCCCTCTATTTTGCAGTCCTAGAAAGATCGAGGATGGAACAGTTAAGACCACAACCTTTCAAGAACAACTTCACAATCTGTCTGCTGGAGAAGTTCTCCAAGCTCTTTCTCTAAAATTCCTGTCTTACTGACAAACATAGAATGCCCAGAAGTTG